TTATTATTATTATAGAAAACTCTATATATACAAAACGACCCGAGTTCGAGAACGTCCAGTCTGGGATTCGAACCTGAGGAGTGGTTGGTTGGCGGGTGCTCTGATGTGGTTTGCTTCTTCTTTCCTGTCAAACATCTGTCATCACTAACTCTCCTCCTTTGTTCCGGTTATTACTCTTTTGTAACACCTCTAATCTTCAGCACTTATATGACCTCATTGTTATGCAAGTGCCGTAAAACACTTTTACTAAAACAAAACAGAATCTGAGCCATCCGTTCTGAAGTCCAGCGTGATACTAGATGAGCTCATCTAGCACTCCGACATCAGCTGTTTCAGATCTAGCACTTGAAGAAGAAGACGACGAGAATTTATTTAAGAAGTTGAATGAGGTGGAAATAACGATTCTCCTCATGACTTACGCAACATTGCTTGAGTGGCGGCCATGTTGGAAGTGCTGTGATACTTGACTCTCAAGTACTCTAAGGTACCAAATAAGCGTCCCCCCCCCCCTTAATTATTTTCTGTTTTTTTGCACCCCCCCCCCCTTCCGCTCCGTATTCCATAACCCCGTTTATTATTTTCAAGCTTGCCACCACCGACGATCATGTGAAACATTATATCTACAATCTAGAAATCTGAACAAAACTTCTTTTTTTTTTTGTAAATTAAAAGTAAAATCACTTCAGTATAAGTACCGGTACCGGTTTGGCTTCCTCAATTTTCTGTGCCTTTTAAAAAACTTTTGTATATTGGTTTATACATTTTAATGAAACTGGTTTGTTCCTAATTGAGAAACGTTGTCAAAGTAACTTACGAAAATCACTAAAATTTCCTTATCTCTTGTTCTATTATTCACCGAAAGAAAAATAAAACAGATTTGTTCTTAAATAGTACAGGGGTATGAGGTTGAATGTGCCACCCTCCCCCCTTTATTCCATCCACCCCTTCCCCTCCCCCCGTTTATTAATTTTGGACCACTTGTCAACACCCCCCACCCTACTTTTATTCGATACCTTAGAGTAATCTACAACAGCAGTCAAACTTGTG